GGGGGGGGGGGGGGGGGGTAAACGAGTTTACACAAGAAAATATACTTCAATATGATAATTTTTCAACATTGCAGTTACAGTTCAATTCTTTCTTTTCAGATTTAAAAATAAACCTTTTGCAATCCCCACATGTTTCCTAACTCCATGACTGAAGTAAATTGAGTAATAGTCCTTGTATTCATAAGTCTCTGGTTAGAGGCAGTTATGTGTGCTCTGTCTAATGATTGTCAAAATTATCATGGCCAATGCATTAACAGCATATATTTCTTAGATTTGACCAAGGAGAATTGAATACAAGGAGGGGGCAATAGGGTTTCCGTACACTTTGCTGTGACGTGTTTGGGTTGCTGGAGAACTAGTTTTTGCGTAACAACAATAATAAAGATTTTAAACAATGACACAAATGATAAACAGACATTGGTGCATCTCTGCGTTAGATGAAGATTCACCGTATACTAAGTCATGTTTGTTTACATTAGATCGGCTGCCTTTATTATTGTTGTTACGCCAAAACTAGTTCTCCAGCAGCCCAAATACGTCACAGCAAAGTGTACGGAAACCCTATTTTCCCCTCATTGTATTCAATTCTCCTTGGATTTAAACAAGGAGAATTGAATAGAATAGGGTTTCCGTACACTTTGCTGTGACTTTTTTGGACTGTTGAAGAACTAGTTTTTGCGTAACAAAAATAATAAAGATTTAAACAATAACACAAATGATAAACAAACATCTGGCATTTCTGGCGTTAGATGAAGATTCACCGTATACTAACTCATGTTTGTTTACATTAGATCGGCTGCCTTTGTTATTGTTGTTACGCAAAAACTAGTTCTTCAGCAGTCAAAAAACGTCACAGCAAAGTGTACGGAAACCCTATCGCCCCTCCTTCTATTCAATTCTCCTTGGGTTTGACAATTCTTTATTTTTCGCTGTTAAATCAACCATTCATACATTCTCTATATATTAAGTTGTAATCTCTGTTTGTCTGTCTGTTTGTGTTTCCGAGTATAACTCAGGAACCACTCAACCGATTTCTTAACATTTTGATTTGGGATCTCGGGAGAACCACGGGAATGTTCTTAGTCTGATATTACAACTTTACATATATAGATACGCAAATATAATGACACCCCCCCCCCCCCATCAAGGCGAGGTAACCTCCTCATATTCACTCTTCCCTCCCTCTCCCAACCTGCAGGTGCATATATGTACCAGGAAATGCATTGCAACCTCAATTAATTAAATAATTAATTAATTGTTTAATTGATCTAAAAGCAGGGAACTACATTAGATCAGATATGTTGGTTCTAAGCAAATGTTTAAAATGTCGAAAAGTAATTTTCATGGCAAGACATTTATGCAATTCACAGTTTGCAACAAATAATTAAATCTGTACTTAACATCCTCGCTTCCTCCATACTTCCTTTACCCATTCCCCCCCTTCCCGTCTACCTCCCCTCTCTTCCCCTATTCCTCCTTACTTCCTTTAACCCCCTATCTATCTATCTATCTATCTATCTATCTATCTATCTATCTATCTATCTATCATATACATCATATACAGGGTGTCCCACGAAACATGACAATTGTTAAATTTTTATGAATGTCGTCTTCCATAGTCTGTATTAGATATTAAAGGCTTTTGCATTTTATTTTGGAAATAAATTCTTTTGTTTAAATTTTTCACATAGAAATCAATTTTGCTATGTAATATTAATTATATATTAATAATATGAATTAATTAATATAATATTTTTATTATTGTCTTTGGTATCAAAGAACTTAACAAATTATGGAAGAATTGACATTGTAAACTATTCACCAAATATCATGTTTCGTGGGACACCCTGTCTTTATATTATTTAAACTTCCGTCTGAGTTGAAATAATGCGAATCACATGTTTAAAAACAAATTCTCTTTTAACTAAATCATTTGATATATTTCATTCAATTTTAACTGAAATGTGCGTTCTATCTGCAGAGAAACCCAAGCAACTATGGAAAAGGAAGACGACTGTTCCTATGAATTTGAATAATCCGATATGAACATGAAACATGGCAATGTGTAGTGTACACTCACCCATTTCAGGTTATACGTTGACTTTCCAGGCAATAAGAAGATCTGAAGTATATCATAATTATGTCTCAAAAGTATGAGTTCGACGTAGAATGGTGACTTTGACATAATTGTGACTTTGAAAGTGTCTTAGACATAAGCATATCTCCAAAGTAAGAATTTTTCATAGACTTGTGACTTAGATTGAGTTTTGACATAGTTGTGACTTAGATAGTGCCTTTGAGACATATTTGGTCTCAAAGGAATGACGTTGATGTAACCGTGACTTTGAACTGTGATTTGAAATATGTCTTACCATGACTTAGACATGGGTTTTAGTTAGAAATAGGACTTAGAATGTGTCTTAAAGTAACTTAATCTGGATTCTGTAGCCATTATATTTTAATATGACAGTTTTGATGCTTCAGTATTTTCAAAAAGGAGCATTTTTGATGCTTTCCTACAGCTTAATGATATTTTAGAGATTTCTGCAGCTTGGGTTATGTTAGGTTACACAAAGCATCAAATATTACGTGTGAAAGCATCATAATTGTCCTAATTGATAATAAATAGTATATATTTTCCCTATAGCCGACCAAACGGCTGGATCGAATGGGATGAAATTTTCTCTTGGAACCCTTGAGTACCCCGGGGGTAACATAGGCTACAAAAAATCGAAGTTGTTTTCATAACAAATTTGACATTTTTTTTAAAATTCGATTATTAAAATTCCATGGGCAACACTGGGCACTTGTGGCTAGTCTGTATAATAAAACAAGACATTCATATTTATGTGGACACTCATGGGTCAAAAAAAAATTTCTCGAAAATATATTAAAAAAATTTTTTTCCACGGGCAACGCCAAGCCCTTTAGCTAGTAGTTTATAAGTCTTTCCCGGTTCAGGAAAGGTTCTGTTTGACCTTTTCGGGTCTAAATTGGTCCGGAAACCCTTATAAAATACAGAACATGGTAGTGAAATTCTAAAGGAACTTATTCGTTTTTGTACTGCATCACATTTATTAAGTTAATTTATCTACATACCTTATTCGATATAAATTGATAATAATTTAAAAAAGAATATTTACAACATTATATATATAAACCTCTGGGAAAACGTGATGGAAAGTAAAAATATTTTCTCTTTGAATAAACAAATTTTTAGTTTGAAAATTCTCAGGCCTTGTAAACATATATCTTATAAAGTACATCCTGTATCTTAAACTTGTATCCTGTTTGCTGTATTCTGTAGTCTTTATCCAGTTTTTTGTATCCTGCATTCTTTATCCTGTATTCTGTATTCTTTATCCTGTATTTTGTATTTTGTATCCTGTATCCTGTATTCTGTATCCTTTATCCTATATCCTGTATCTAAAACTTGTATAATATTTGTTGTATCCTATATCCTTTATCCTGAATCCTGTATCATGTGTCCTGTATGATATTTGCAGTATTCTGTATTCTGTATTCTGTAATCTGTATCCTGTATCCTGTATCCTGTATTCTGTATTTCAGACTAAAATGAAGAAGGATACGTGATACAGATTGACCGACTGTATCTAAAAGCTAGTAAACGAGAAAAAAAAGAAAACGAGACAATGGAGGAACAACAAGGTAAACACTATGATTATTTTTATTCTTCAGTTTTGATACATTTATATTCTAAACTGGGAGTTAATACAAACATTTAACATTGATGAAAACATTTTCTTTCAACATAAACATTTCAAAATAATGTCTTGGAGAGAAAAATATCTAGAAAAATATGTTCAAGATAAATGAGTAAACAGTAAGTTTTGTCTTGATTGTCCAACAGTTGGCAGAAAACAACACTTTGCGTTGAAACCATTTCTAATAGAAAAGGAAAATGGGAAGATCGATTGTATGAATGAATAAAAGTATCTACGAACGTTTGACAGAAAACAAGGTTGCATTAATAAATGAACGAATAAATGAATTAAAAGATGATTGATTGAATGAATTTTCAAGAAGAAATTAAAGAATGCAACGTTTGCATGTATAAAGAAATTAATGATCTATAGAATGCATGAATAAATGATTTATGTTAAGAAAGAATGAATAAATGATTAATTTTAAGAAAGAATGAGCATAAAATGAATGTACATATTATGAATAAATGATTGATTGATTGATTGATTGATTGATATTTTTAGCGAAGGTAAGGGAATCCATGTTGCTGGCGGAGAGCACAGGGGTATAGTAATCAACAAGGATGGAGGGGTAGAGGAGGAGGGGGTTCAGGGGCAACCTCATCTATGCCTAGAATTCAGGGTCTTCCTTGTAAATACAAGCACTAATAAACATGCACAGGTCAGTACTAATGTACAAATGCACAAATGTACAAATGCACAAATTAGTAAAATTATAAATGCACAAATATACAAATTTTCTAGTATTGTATTCAGTAGAAACGTGTACAATCCTACGAGAGACATCTAGTATTGTCTTTAGGAGAAACATGTACTATCCTACTAGAGACATCTAGTGTTGTATTTAGGAGAAACGTGTACTATCCTACTAGATACATCTAGTGTATTATTTAGGAGAAACGTGTACTATCCTACTAGAGACATCTAGTGTTGTATTCAGGAGAAACGTGTACTATCGTACTAGAGACATCTAGTGTTGTCTTTAGGAGAAACATGTACTATCCTACTAGAGACATCTAGTGTTGTATTTAGGAGAAACGTGTACTATCCCACTGGAGAAATCTAATGTTGTATTTAGGAGAAAAGTGTACTATCCTACTAGAAACATCTAGTGTCGTATTTAGGAGAAACGTGTTCCTACTAGAGACATCTAGTGTTGTATTTAGGAGAAACATGTACTATCCTACTAGAGACATCTAGTGTTATGTTTAGGAGAAACGTGTACTATCCTACTGGTTTAAAGATGAAGTGGAAGAGAACAGTCGAGCTAAACTTGCTCAGCAATTTTTTAAAGAGCTTGTCAGTCCAACACAATTCCCCAGAGGTACTTTTTAACTTACTTTAGGGTTAAACATTTTTTCAGTTTAAAAGCCTGACTTTATCGCCATATTTAAAATTAAGCAGTCTAAAATGGATTGGATATTAGCGCAAATAGATGAATAGAAGCTAAAATAAAATAGATATGAAATTCTAATTTTTTCATCAATTGTTCTAATAATTTTTCAGATTATGTTGGATTTATCAAGAAGATTATGAAACTGATGCAGGTTAACTTTTAGATTCTGCAGAATTTTTTCTTCGATTTTAAGCTTTTTAATTTATTATGGTCTGACTTTAATGGATTTTTCCCCCGATCTCTGAATCTGATTAATCTTTGAAACATATTTATCAATAAATTTTTCTTTTTATAAATTTTACGCAGACACACAATTTTTTTATTTTTGTAAGTTTCAGTTTCAGAAAGATTGGTTTAAAATTTATTGGAAATAATTGTGAAAAATGTGTCGATATTAATCTAAATGTTTGTAATTAAGACAAGCTACCCTGGGATGCGACGGGTTGAGGTTGAGCTGACCCAGGAGCTGGAACTGGATAAACTACCTGACAGACCAAGTAAGTGTTTAAGTTAAGCATTCCACTCATATTCTTATTTTCTAATCCTTATATCTTTGCTCTCTAATATGGTAGAACTAGGGTGTCCCAACAAACATTGCGACTTATAAGATGAACGTCTTTGATGTTTGAAAGAAATTGCGGCATTTATTCGTAAACCTAGTTTTACAAGTAACTATGTTGAGATACTAATCACAAAGTACATCGTCATGGTATTTTACAGCTATGTTCATATCATTATCCAATATTCAAGGTTTGAAATGTTAAAGGTTCCTGGTTGCAAAGATTTAGGGAATGAAAAATTAAAGTTTGAGGCGAATAATCAGTTTCTTTTAATATATTTGGATTGAGTTACAATCAGTAAATATTGGGTATGTTGGGTTAATGTAAATATATATGTTAGAAACCGAATAAATTGATTGTACAGTGTTTCCCACAAAGGATGAGACTGTAAAGACGACCCAAAACTTAAAAAATATCACGATTTGACGCGAAAATGTTGGTTACTGCAATTAATTGAGTAATTGATGGTTTACTGAATGATTAAGCACAGAAATAAACCAGTAAACCAGTTTTGGCCTGAAAGGAAGTCTTGAATGCAAGAAATGGACTAAAAACATTTCGTACAATCGTCTCTGAAGTCTCATCCTTTGTGGGTAACCCTGTATAGTACTTTTAAGACTGTACGGGACTGTATATACGTCATATCCAGTAACTATTCGTTTATAGATTCACAAAGGTACCCTTTAGAGCTTTGTCTGATCAATAATGCTTTTTTTTTGTGTTTTCTCTATAAATAAAGTGACTTGCGAATTTCTGCTTCCGAAACAATGAAGGAAGGAAGGATATTTCAAAAATATGAGAAATAATTTTTTCAGCAAGATCAGGAGCACTTCTCTTTACTGTTGGGTCATCTAGACCCAGAGGTTGGATAGAGTTGTAACAAATCTAGATGCTAATACTCTAACGATTACTTAACTCAAAGTCTAATGAGATCATATTTAACTAAATCTCTAGCCAAATCTTAGGGCTCTCTATCTCTAGCCAACACTCAAGGCTCTGTATACGTCCGTTCTAATCAACAAATGATATTCAACTACTTTATTTATAAACAGGTAAAAATGAACTGACCGGGCTAGCCCGGCTGGGTCAACATACAAATAGTTAAGATAATAATATTATTAATACAGATAATGAATTAGAATTGCACATCATGGTAGATTATACTTCATATATAGCTCGTCAATGCTGAAGGAACATTTCTAACTTTTAAAACAAAAAAAAACAAATTTTTGTGTGTGTTAACTAACATTATCAAAGTACAGGGCAGGTTAAAAATTCATGTTTTTTGTCAATTGTTTTTCTTACTTTTTCCTACTTGCCCTGTACATTGTACAAGGTGTACAATTACATATAATACTTCCATCCAATTGTACATAAATAATTTAATCATATTTGTTTATTAACTATACATTAATATTAACTTATGTACATTGATTTTATTTAAGAGTGCAAATTACATTTAACAATTATATAGTGAGACCCTTAAAACTCTGGAATTTTATCTGTATTTACTGTTGTTATAAAGAAAATGGGTTCACCCTGCACTTAGAAATTGAAATAAATGGGTCTGTGTACACTGTACACTGTACACTGTACATTGCCGTGTTTCATGTTCATTAGAATATTCAAGATCTGTCGTCTTATTCCACAGTTTTATGGGTACCACTGTAGCTTACAAGAATATGACAACAAATACATGTTTATGGATTTTGCATAAATTTACATTTTTAGTTTAATTAAAATGTTATAAATTATTTCTAGTGTCAGCTGAACCATGTAGTAAAAGTATTGCTACTGAGGAGAGAGTTCTGGAGTTGATAGAAGCTTCATATCCTAATCCTATAGCATTAGAAACTATGTACAGGTATTGTACTGTACTGCACTCTACTGTACTCTACTTTACTGAACTGTACTGTACTGTACTATATAGCACTCTACTCAACTCTATTTTAATGTACTCTACTGTAATCTATACTGTACACTACTGTATTCTACTGTACTCTACTGTACTCTATTGTACTATACTGTACTCTACTGTACTCTTCTGTACTCTACTTACTCTACTGCACTCATTATGCTTATTACCTGGTTTTTCATTCATGTTGACGTTTTTACTTAAGGTTGAATTTGATAATGACCATAGCTTAGAAACACAGAAAACTTTTGTTAGTTTATATATTAAAACTGGTTTTATCTGTTTCATTAAATCTAGCTCGCATAGAAAATTGGAAGAAGTTTATTATCAAATTTTATCATTAAAGCCAATTTTTTATTTTCTAGCAAAAGGTGGGGGGGGGGGGGCATCCACCATGTTGCCCCATCTCTTAACTACGACCCTACTTTAATATTTTTTCTATTTTAGTCATTTTGAAAGCACTGAAGCTCTCATTCGGAGTGTTCTCTCCGAGCTACAGCTTAAGAAAAAAATCAGGTATATTTCTTGAATAGGGGGCGGGGGGGAGGGGGGTTTGCTAAAGAAAATAGGATCCCTAATCGTTTTGAATCCTTGAGAAACAAAAAGTCAAATGTTACCAAAATCCTTTATTTAGAAGGAGAAAAAAGTGAAAATAAAATAAAAAGAGTCAATTTAAGAGAAAAATAATGATATCTTTTCCATTGTTGCTCAGTGCAGAGGGTCTATTAGTGAATCGGACATGCCATATTAGAATAAATTACGTTCCTTTTAATTTTCCGAAATTTTTGAATTTGAATTTGTTTAGAACAATGGAGAATAATTTGAACCAGTTTACTCGTGTAGTCAAGGACGAAGAGAAAATTACAATTGTCAAACAGATGCCAAAGGTAATTGGAAAGTTCCTCTCTTCATCATAAACTTTCAGAATATCTTAAGTACTTGACTCTATACTCTTTTTAAAAAAGTTCCTCGTTAATACAGTGATAACCAGAAATCTCTGGAATAGAAAGACGACTTTTAGAATCAAGTTATAACTTTGAAAAGTCCAATGAGCATGATAAACAGAAATCGTGCAGTGTAAACAGACCCATTTCACTAAATTAGTGGTTTAATAAGTGAATAGTGGAACTATTTGCTTTGTAAAAGCATCAAATACACTTGAGTATTGCTATAATGTCGTCTTCCTATTCCATTGTTTTCTGATTATCACTGTACCCAGTTAATATCTTTATTGTAGTCTTGTTTTGTTGCCAATACGGCCCAATATAGAGTTATCACAATATTAAACAAATTAATACTATGTATAGAACTAATTATACATGATAAAAGTGAGTGACAACATGATAACATATAATTTCATACAGTTTAAGATTTAAATTGAAAAAATAACTTTTTAGAAATTCTCCTCACTTAAATTTTAAATAAAACTACTAATAAAGAAAAAAGATCATTAATTTGGTTTTAATGTGATACACAATAAGTTCATGGTAACCCACAGTCAAGTATTTAAGACAACGGCACAACACAAAACGTTGTGATATTTTAATCAATCTTGAGTAATACAAATAATAAAAAGATTTCAATAACAAACTGGAAGAAGGTTTACTGATATATCATTTAATTTGTATGTGTGAGCTTTTGCCCACATCCCTTAATTAAAATGAATTATTAAAGTTAAAAATACACAAAAAGTTCCAATTTCTAAAAAATATCTCGACTTTTTTCAATTTTTATCTCAAGATCTTTATTTCTATCATTATTTTATTTTTAACATTATTATTATTTATATTACTATTATTATTATTATTATCATAATCAGGTTGAGAAAGCTAAGCAGCCAAGTATAGCTATAATCTGTAGCCAGTATCAAGAGAAAGCTGCTCTAGACTCATTTATGACAAATCGTCAAACCTTTGTTAGATATGCTACAGTAGGTGAAGACATAATCATTAATCATCTGTAATCAGGGATATATATTTTTCATCCGCCCCCCCCCCTCCTTCCAGTTTTACAATCCTGAGCCCGCGATTTAAAAGCTTCGGCTCGAGTCGTAATTCCTTAAACCCAACTTTAAGACCCAATCTTCGATCCAACTCTAACGACAGCTTGTGTCACGTGATTGACAGCTGCAAGATATTCGGCTCGACTTAAGGAGTTAGGCCCAATGACAATAAAACCGACCTTGGTTGGGTTTAGTGGAGAATAAGGCTCAATGTTGCGTCTTGTTCTCATAAAAACTGGGAACATGCCAGTTCCTACCATGAAAATCCGCCAAATAGAATATTAAACTGGTTTTTTAAATTCAACTCTGTGGAAAATTAGATGCAGCTTTAATCCGAAAGCTCAAGCTGTAAATAAGGTCCAACGATAGCTTAGACCCGAGCCGTATTTCCCCGAATTTTTTAAATCGCGGACTCGGAAAGGGACTGTTTATTTAATTTTAAAGGAATTATTTACTCGACTCAAACTTTATTATCTTCGCAACCTGATTGAGCGGACCCATATTTCAAACTATAAATACTGTTGGAGCAAAATGTCAAAGTTTTGAATATTAAAGGTCTACGACATCAGGTTGCAATGATACTGATTTTCGTAATTTAAGATGAATATTCATTTCTTTTATGTTACATAAAAAATCTAATTCTGGAAAGCCCCCATTTATATTTTGAATGAATTATTTGGTGTTTTTTGTGTGTGTCGTAATCTAGACTTTATAAATGAATGTTACAATGATGAAAAGATTGATTTTTTCTTTTCTTTGTTGAATTTATTTTTAAATTATTCTTTTTAGTATTGTAAAGTTTTCACATTTTCTTTATTTTGCATTTTTAGTTTTTTTCTTCTGTTTTGTTTTGTTTTGTTTTGTTTTGTTTTGTTTTGTTTTGTTTTGTTTTGTTTTATTATTTTATTCTATTTTTAGGTTGATTAATATTATCACAGTGTTTTCCCGGAATAAGAACGATTTTTAAACAATTTTAACAAAATCAACAAAAATTATTAAATCCCTAAAATTACTTATTTTCTATAAATTTAAAAATCGTTTTTTCTTCACAACTAATATCTCTGATTTTAGAACGGTAGGTTTTAGATGATATATTTTTACAGGGTTGGTGACGGAAATATTTTAAGCATGCAATTATTTTAAAAATTTTTGATTATCAAAATAATAATGATAATTATGATCAATTAAATCATTCTGATTGTTATTATCATTTATATTATTATTATCAATATTATCATCATTATTATTTTCTTACTTCTTATTATCATTATCGTAATTTTTATCATGATAATTATTATTGTGCCATTATTATCATAACTATTGTTGTTATTTATTATTACAGTGATAACCAGAAAACACTGGAATAGAAAGACGACAATTTAAGTGTATTTGATGTTGTTACACGCACCTCTGACCCGTTATTAAAAGTAAATTCAACCCAAAGTCTGACCGCGTCAACCTTGCTGCAACGGCTAGTCCTATTGAGTGTCTGCTTTATTTTCCCAATGTACAAACTTGGGCCGGAAAGGTTGACCCGGCTTGGAAATGCAAATGTCCTAAGGCTGCCCGTGATTACAAAGTAAAGTATAAAGTAGTGAATTGAATCTATTTGTACAATTGATGTGTCTTATGCTCTTTAGAGTTTTTGAAGTTATAACTTCATTTTAGAAGTTGTCTTTCTATTCAGAGTTTTCAGTTTATCCCTGTATTATTATAATCATTATTGTCATCATTATCATTTATACTATTATTATTGTTTCATCAATATTATCATTATTATTATCGTATTATTATTATTGAAGGTGAGACCCAGGCCTATACACTGGGTGATCTGGGACCTCACAGAGTAGTTGTCACAAAACTTCCTAGGTAGGTGGTCTACTACTGTGTACTACTTCCTGTGTACCGTGTACTGTGTACTGTTTTACTGTGTACTGTGTACTGTTTTACTGTGTACTGTGTACTGTGTACCGTGTACTGTACACTGTGTACTGTGTACTGTGTACTGTACACTGTGTACTGTGTACTGTGTACTGTTTTACTGTGTACTGTGTACTGTACACTGTGTACTGTGTACTGTGTACTGAACAATGTGTACTGTGTTCTGTGTACTGTGTACTGTGTACTGTGTACTGTGTACTGTGTACTGTGTACTGTGTACTGTGTACTGTGTACTGTGTTCTGTGTACTGTGTACTGTGTACTGTGTACTGTGTACTGTGTACTGTGTACTGTGTCAACAACAAGACTTCTGGGTACATTTCAGGTAAATAAAGTACACCATGATGATGATGATGATGATGATGATGATGATGATGATGATGATGATGATGATGATGATGATGATGATGATGTTCAGGAGGTTGAGTATGTTCTGCTGGTTGGTATAGGAGGTGGAGTACCTCATTATACAGATTACAATAAACATGTCCGCCTGGGAGATGTTGTAGTTTCAGCTCCGCAGCCTGGGCAGAGGTTTATTTATCAACAGTGTGACACAGCTCAGGTGATTTAGGATAATATATATTCATGGAATGTTTGATTCACAACGGTACCCATACATCTTTTCCAAACAACATGGAGGAATATATCGTTGTATATATCCATAAGTCGCGTTCTAAAATAAACCATCAGCAAAAAACAAATATTTGTATTCTTTGGCGCTAAAGTGAATAAAGGTTTAAAGAGGTACCTTTGTGAACTCATCAAATGAAGGATTATTTGAAATCACGTGTACAGTCCCTTTAATGGGATAATTTATCAAGGTATCCTCCGGTGGAATGCTTGAGTTCCAAACTAAGTCCTGGTGTCCCCCTGAGCTGACCCTGCAGGAGCTAGCTAGACAGCTCATTCAAGATCAGGTGAATATATATATTTATAATTCAAGTAAAACCTAACTGCAGTACCCGGCGTTGCCGAGAATTATATTATTATTGATAAATAGATTTTTATAGATAAATCTTTTATATTTCTAAAATAATTTATTTAATTTCAGGTTGGTAATGGTGTAGATGCTACCTGGGAGAAATTATTTAGGTACAAAATTACACAATAGAAAAATCCATAGCCCCCTTTTTTTAAAAAAAAAATGGGAGAGGAATTTTTACAAACATAGTAAATACATGAGATTTCAATCTTAAAAAGGAATAAATTTCTGGTCCGGGAAGGAACTGATAAAGCACCTAAAGGTTTAGGTTTAAAACATTTTTCAAACCACGATTTGGCCCAAAGTTTTTAAAAGAAAGAATCAAGTATGAATTGAAATTGGACTTGTCAGTGAGTTTTTGCAACGCTTAATTTTGTAGATCTGGAATATCGGAGTTAGGAGAGGAATGGAGAAGGCCTGATGCAGATACTGATAAACTGTTCATGTCTATTGGTAGAGTATTTATATATATTATATATATAGAAACTGATATACTGTTCATGTCTATTGGTAGAGTATTTACATATATTATATATATAGAAACTGATCTACTGTTCATGTCTATTGGTAGAGTATTTATATTTATTATATATAGAAACTGATAAACTGTTCATGTCTATTGGTAGAGTATTCATGTATATTATATATATAGAAACTGATAAACTGTTCATGTCTATTGGTAGAGTATTCATGTATATTATATATATATAAACTGATATACTGTTCATGTCTATTGGTAGAGTATTTATATATATTATATATATAGAAACTGATAAACTGTTCATGTCTATTGGTAGAGTATTCATGTATATTATATATATAGAAACTGATATACTGTTCATGTCTATTGGTAGAGTACTGAAAAAAAGACGGAGTCAGCTGCAAAAAAACGAATCAGCTGCAAAAAAAGACGACGTATCAGCTGGAAAAATGACGACATATCAAATGCAAAAAGAAGAAATCAGCTGCAAAAAAACGACATCAGCTTACAGAAATATAGGGATAAGAAAATTAGAGGTTAAGTCAAGTCAAGATTTTCTTTCCCTTATTCCTATAACGTTTAGGTGGGCAGGATCTGATCGAGGTTGGGCACCCCAGCTCCGGGGACGGGATGGATCCCAGACAAGAAGGCTTAACTGTTCTCCATCTTGGTCCAGTAGGAGCTGGGAAACAGGTTGCTACAGATGATCAACTAAGACAGGAGTTTGCATACAAGGTACACAGCACACACTCTAAAGGGACTGTTCTTTTATTTTAAGAGACCATTTATTTAAATAGAGCCTTGCAGGATTGACAAACAGTATCCTTAAAACCTTTACTTGATTAATAATGTGGAAGATATCGTCGTTTTCCTGGCTTAAATCTTTTCAATTCTCGAAATTTTGTTCATTCTTTTTGTTTTTGAGCAAGAAATTTGTAATTCTTTATTTTAAAACACAAAAGTTAAAATATGTTTTTTAAAGAGAAATCATGGATATCTTTTCCTTGTTCAATCTTGTACAGACAAAGCTTTTAAAGCACATAGTTGTGAATCAAACATATTGCCACTCTCTTTTTTACTAAAGGGTCACTTTACATTACATTACTATCACTTTAAAGGGAGTGTTTGCGAAAAATGAAAGGGGGTATAGGCTTAATGCGATAAAAAAGCGCTTTTGATCGCTACTAATCTTACTTCTATCTGTTGCGTCGATAAGGAGAAAATTGTTAAAGACGTCTCATACCGAATAACATGGCGTCCATACAAATTGAGAAAATTTCAACATACGACTTAGACCGTAAAAAATTTAAACTAAAGTTAATTTCATTTCAGATTTAAATCTTTCATATTTTCTATTCAAACCTTGTTTCTACGACATATTAACAATAATTTCATGTCAACAATACAATTACTCTTGAGTTTCAAATTAAAAGTAAAGGAATAACGACGTCGCAAAGTTGTTCAAGTTATTCTGTAAAAATGAACTTTTCCTTAAATTATATCAAACTAAGTCTACACAAGTGCTACTAACTTTAAAATATACTTGCCTCCTGTGTTGCTAACTGCTAAATATACTTGCCTCCTNTTTATATTTATATGATAATGAGAAAATAATAACAATTTAAAAATCTAAAAAATAAATGGATCCATACATTTTTTCGTTTTGAGAAATGACATTCAAAACTCTGACAAAATGTTCTGAAACTTTTCCTTCGAACCATTTCGAATTTGAAAACAAGTAATTTATAAATATTGTTTTGTTATTTTGAATGAATTTGTTGTAGTTGAGCTGATACCCTCGATGCAGTGAGATTTAACACATTAAAACCCTTCATCCTGTACTATGATGAACTGTACTGTACTTTAATGTATTTTATATGCTCTACTTTAATGTTCTGTACTGTCCTGTACTTTACTTACTGTACTGTACTGCTCTGTACTGCACTGTACTGTACTGTACTGTACTGTACTGTACTGTACTGTACTGTACTGTACTGTACTTTACTTACTGTACTGTACTGCTCTGTACTGCACTGTACTGTACTGTACTGTACTGTACTGTACTGTACTGTACTGTACTGTACTGTACTGTACTGTACTGTACTGTACTGTACTGTACTGCACTGAACTGAACTGTACTGTACATTGCTTTTATAATGGTTCAAAAATTTTGTACTATATGAGCTGAAAACTTTAGAATGGTGGATATCAGGATTAAAGCTTAATCCACTCTTTTTCTTAATCTCCAGATTAAATATTGCTTGTTGTCCTTTCATTTTTAATCTCCAGATTAATTATCCGATCAGGATTAAGGATATCCCATTCTAAAGTTTTCAGCTATGGTGAAACAGTTTTCAAACTTTGCCCAAAATAGGATTTTTAAATTGAATCTAAGCTAAAATAACCTACATCTAATATTTAAAACGTTATTTCTCCAAAATTATGTGTCAAATTTTGCCTTTTTATTGTTAATGGAAAGCAAAGGAAAGTTTAACAAAGATCTAATGTACAATCCTAAATCTGCCAAAATAACTCATCTATTTCTTTTGTAAAACTGAGTTTTTTAAGGCCTAATAATTTAATTCGCCTATCTGTACTGAACAATGAACATGTAAAAGAGTGAATTGTCTTGCCTTATTTTTTAGTCTTATTGACAGGCCATTATGGAGAACCTAGTAATTTAGAAATATGTTAATAATTTAGATTAGGTGAAATGTTTTTATTTTATAGCTTTCGTTATCAATATGTGAAGCTGTTGTTTTAAAAAAAATGAATTTAGTAGAAAAGGGGGGGGGGTATTCATTTGAGTGTAAAGGCAGCTATTATATAGTACATCACAGAAGCGTTGCTTTCAGGCTTGATCATATAGAATTAAAGGAATTGAGCCATTGTAACAAACTCTGATTTTCTAGTTCCTATATCTCTGCAACCCAATGTCGTAGATCTTAGATATTTAAAACTATAGAATTCTATTTGATCAAATTGTTGGAAATTTCAAAGGTATAGGAATTAGAAAATTAAAAACTCAATGCCTTATCACTTTCCTTATCACTGTTTGTATTAACATTAACTTAATCTTTTTGTTCAACTTTGAACTAGTTAAAAGCCATCAGTAATTTTACAAATCGAAGATAAATTTGTTTTGACTTCCTCAGTAAGTAATTAAAATATTTTATGATGTTATACTCAGTTCCATAGATTAATAACAACACAGATAGAACACTAGATGTCGTCTTTTCAAGATTTCTGGGTTTTTCGTTCACAATAACCCTGAGGCAAGAAGCCCAAAGGAGTTCCGCGCATGTAGTGCATCTCTCTGTCTTCTGCCTCAAAGTTTTTGTGAACAAAAAACCCCTAATTCTTGAAAAGACGACATCTAGTGTCCTATGTGTATTGTTATTAATCTATGTTCAGTTTACACTGCACAATATTGTCCAACTAGTCAACTCTAACCTATATAGTCGAATATATATTCTAATCGCACAAGATTATTGTGTCGTACAAAATCTAATATTGTTCCAATAAACATTGGGATTTGGTTAAGAATTAGCATATTATTATAAAACTAAAAAACGATGCAATTTGTGCATTTTCAAATTTTTGTATCAGCCTTATATGATTACAGTTTTATTTGATAGTTCAATTTTCAAAATCCAAATTTCGAGCCATATGCATGAATATGGCGCCCGGGACTTTATTTTAATGATTGCAATTGAATCTACAAGGAACGGATGTACAAACTTACAAATTATTTCGCGAAAAAAGAATTGATTTTTATACAGACCCTATTTTTTTATTTTAATCAGCCGAGCTGAAATTGAGAAACGTCAAAAGACGCCATTTTAACTATTTTTTTATTTTTATGATTATTTCTTAGACAAAGGTTTCTTGGGGAGCCGTAGAACATTTGAATTTCCGATCCAGGTCAACCTTTTCCGGTCACAGTTTTTACTGTATCGCCCGGACATTGGGTAAATGAATCAGACACTCAATAGGACTAGCCGTTGCAACAAGGTTGACGCGGTCAGACTTAAGGTCGAATTTACTTTTACTAATGGGTCAAGGGGTGCGCGGTTTATATGGCACGCATGTCATGATTTAAATTTTTGATGCAGTCAGGAGCTTAGTGTAAGGGGGGGGGGGCACCTTTTAAGGACGTCAGCGCGCCGAAATTTTTTAATGTGCACCCCCTTGAAGACTCCCCCCCCCCTAAAAAAAATATTTAAAGTTTTTTCTATTTATATTAAAGAAAATTATATCTTCATACTTGGGCTTTGCTTGGTTTAGAACGTATATTTGTTTATTATACATCAGGTGCATATTTATTGAAAATGTGTTCCCCTTTTCAAAAATATTTTTTTTTCACAAAAAATAACATATTTTTGCGCGGATGGGCAACTTAAAAACATGTTATTTGATGTCCAATCCCCCCCCCCTCCTCAAACATAATTTTTCCCCAAGAAGTTAGATGCGCCATACAAATTTTCAGGATTTACTTGCTGAATTTTTGTGTAATAATCTTAAATATAATGAAAAAACTTGCGTTTTAGTGTCAATTTTTTTTCAAGTGCACCTAGCGCTTTCCGAATCCGATCCCCCCCCCACATTTTGAAATTTAAAATATAAGCCATTAAAAACTGATAAATGCTCCCCCCCCCTTTCTTTTAAGGTAAAGGGTTGGGTTTGGGACGATCGAATTTTGATAGAGACAAATATTTAAAATTTCAATCATTCATAAACCTTCCCTGGGGTCCCTATATGTCCCACACAAAATTTGGGCCCGATCGGTTCAGCCGTTTTGACGTTTATTGGATACAAACAAACAAACAAACAGACAGACAGACAAGCCAAATTTATATATTGATTAAAATGGTGATGATATGTTATAACTTACGTAATTATAGTTATGTTTTTTTACGCGTATCTAATTTAAATATTTTCCATATTCTAAAACTTGAAATCCACCATCAGCTTTCAGAAAAATCCGTAAGTAAGATTGCATGAAACAATTTAATAAATCTTTAAAAAATTGTTGATATTTCTTTATAAATTACAATATATATACATAATACATATGCACAAATCGAACTCAAAAAAGAATGGTTTGGAAAATTTTTCCTGTCATTAATAATTAAAAAAAATTTTAGTATTTTTTGGGTTTTGAATTTTTAATGTTCTTCCATTATGACATCTTCACTGTCTGAATATTCAAGTCTCTATTCCTGAAAAAAACACGTTTTAACAAAAAAATATGTTAATTTATAAAGAAAAATTAACTTTTTTAAACCCCCATCTACAATTTTATTCGTTTGTGTTAGTCTATAGCATACAATCTTTGGAGACAAATCTTAAATGATGATATTTAATAATGAAAGTTAAAAGAAAGAAAGGAAGGAAGTTTAAAATTAGCGAAATTGTGAAAGTTTAGAAAAAGAAATATTTCAAAGTTTGAATTTGTTCTTCTTGTATTCTATTAAAGTCAATTATCATTTAAATATATTAAATCAAATATCATTGATATAAAGTGGAGCGCGAAGCATCCAGATTTCTACCTTGTGTAGGATTTAAGGTATATAAGATGTTTACACAGCAGATCAGTTGTTGGTCGGATAGATAGCAACATCCAACCAATAATAACAAGGATACAGCGGGTCAGGTTCAGGGCCTAGATAGATAGATAGTTAGATTGATTGATTGATAGATAGATAGAAATATAGATAGATAGATAGTTAGATTGATAGATACACAATTCTTCTAAATCTCAGATCCGTGAAACAAAAACTCTTTTTGCCAAATTTTCGGTTTATTTAACCATCTTCAGGGCATATTCTTGCTTTAACTCGACCAAAGATAAACAAGATTGATAGATAGATATATAGAAATATAGATAGATAGATAGATAGATAGATAGATAGATAGATAGATAGATAGATAGAAATAGATATAATATATATATATCAGTTTACCAACCTTCCAGGTATATATCTCGGAGTTGAGAATCTCCTTGCTAAGGCTGGTGTAGAGGGAGGTGTTGCTGCTAAACAGGGACAGCTTGTNTAGATAAGTATGGATATACTTACCGGTAGCTAGAGTAAGGATTAATGTAGAGAAGTAGATAAGTATGGATATCCCCCCGGATCGAAGAGTAAGAATACGCTTAAACTGTTTACCAGTCATTGCAGACACATCATACCTATAGAGTAGATTTTACGAGCGTACATGCTACAATGAACTTTTTGTATTTATGTAAATAAAAGTGATAATATAATATTTAGTTTATAAAAGATACTGTACAGATGATAGTTATAATATAGAAGATATTGTACAGATGATAGTTATAATATAGAAGATATTTCACAGATGATAGTTATAATATAGAATACAGATGATAGTTATAATATAGATCAAGATATTGTACAGATGATAATTATAATATAAAAGATATTATGCAGATGATAGTTATAATATAGAAGATACGTTGTACCTGTCAAATACTGAAACTGTACAGATGATAGTTAGAATATAGAAGATGAACTGTAAAGGTTGGGAGATGGGAGAGTACAACTCGACAAATTCCAAATCCTGAACAATTATAGGAATATACACTATACAGGGTTACCCAAAAAAGATGAGACTTCAGATTCGATTGAACGGAATTGATATTGCAGTCTTACTCTTTTTGGGTAATCCTGTATAACATATATGGGTTTCGTTTCCCTGGATTCCAATTTGGGGGCATAACTCAACAAGAAATTTTATGAGGATGTTCACATTTTGCGGGGTTCCGGGTTCACCAACAAAGCATGCGCCTCCACTTTCGGCTAAAAACAACTGAATATGTGTCATCTTTTCATTTATCAACCTAAATCTATATTTAGACCCACTTCAGTGTATTGGACTTTAGGGATAGCTTTATGGAGAGTTTATGGAAAAGAAAGAAGAGTTTATAAAGAAATTGTTCAACACTTTTATGCACACACTTTTTCATCGTAAATTTACATATTTAAAGTTTTCTTTGTCTCGAGCCCCCCCCCCCTACACATGAAGATATACCTCTGAATGTAGTAGGAAAACGTTGATGGCCTGCCAGGCCCCCAGCCCAGCTAGAAATCCATGGCAGTAAATACTTATACATCTAAATAATGAAAATAAATGCACTTTCAGATAAACTTCATATTTTCTTCTTTAAAGTATCGTATATCAAAATCGAAGCCTCACATGGGATCAATCTTACACATAAAAATATGAAATATTCTGTTCATAGGAAATTATTATGCGAATTATCAAAATTAAGTAAAATTTAATGCTTTTAACCTCCTCGGATACTACTCTTGTTTACAAATTCCGCCCAGAGAGAACTGGTTTCAATATACGCAACTGCAAGTAACTTTCCTTGCATTATAACCTTGGATCTAGCAATCGGGATAAAGGATATCCAGTTAAAGAGTTTTTAATTCTGGTTATATTTATATTCTGATTGACCTGACCTGAAAGCCTTCTGGGTATAGATTGCTAGATCTAGTGGAGTAGTGGAGATGGAAGGAGATATGGCAGAGATGGTGGAAACTGCTGCTAATTTCTTCTTTGTAATTCCAGAAAATCTTCCCTGGAGAACAAATATAAATCTATAGATATAAAGTAGTACTCTCTAGTCTCTGTTTGTTTGTCTGCATGTTTAGTTTTATGTCCAATCATATCTCACGAACCCCGTGACCGATTTGCCTCACATTTTGACTGGGGGAACTTTGTTGTACCACGGAAATGTTTTTAGCTTGGGTTTAGAATTTAAAGTTGAAAATACTGTATGCGTAATTTTAAGTTAAATTCCATATACGTGTTGCTATGTTGAGAAATCAGACTGGACGCAGCGCACACTGGAATTTGAAGCTAAATACAAGCAGTTTTCGATAAGTTCACAGCTACACACGCACTACTCTGTACTCGAGGAAAATATGAAGGTACCGTTGTGAATCGGATTCGAACATAGCCTATATTTGCCTATGCTCTATATATTGTTTTATATCTGATGCTCCATATATCGTCTTCTGATGCTCCATGTATAGATTTATACATGATACTCATTTATATTTGTATACCTAATACTATATATATATTGTCTTATACCTGATACTCCATATATAGCTTTATACCTGATCCTTCATATATTGTTTTATACTTGATGCTCCATATATTGTTTCATACCTGATCCTCCATGTATAGTTTTATACTTGATGCTCCATATATTGTTTCATACCTGATCCTCCATATATAGCTTTATACCTGATCCTCCATATATAGTTTTATACTTGATGCTCCATATATTGTTTCATACCTGATCCTCCATATATAGTTTTATACTTGATGCTCCATATATTGTTTCATACCTGATCCTCCATATATAGTTTTATACTTGATGCTCCATATATTGTTTCATACCTGATCTTCCATATATAGTTTTTTATACCTGATACTCCATTTATATTTCTTTACCTCATACTCTATATATTGTTTTATAACTAATGCTCGAGTTATAGTCTTATACCTGACGATTCATACATAGTTTTATACCTGATGCTCCATATATAGTTTTATACCTGATGCTCCATATATAGTTTTATACCTGATGCTCCATATATAGCTTTATAGCTGATGCTCCATATATAGTTTTATAGCTGATGCTCCATAAATAGTTTTTTAGCTGATGCTCCATATATAGTTTTTTACATGATGCTCCATATATAGTTTTGTACCTAATGCTCCATGTATAGTTTTATACCTGATGCTCCATATGTAGTTTTATAGCTGATGCTCCATATATAGTTTTATACCTGATGTTCCGTATACAGTTTTATACCTGATGCTCCATTTATAGTTTTATACCTGATGCTCCATATATAGTTTTATACAGTGAAACCCTTAATAACGAATACATCGAAAGAATTCATCAAATGTCGGATTCTTCACTATCTGATAATGGAATGTTGCAGATATTTAGTTTTTAATTAAATGATAATATAGAACTCTTTAAAAATGCTCCCGCATATTCATGGCTATTTATTTATTTTCGCAAATACTGAAATTTACGTAATAATAGTAAAAAACTCATTGAAAAATTGTCAAGACGACATTTGATAAGTTCTTCCGATGTTTTCGTTATTAAGGGTTTCACTGTAGCTGATGCTCCATATATAGTTTTATACCTGATGCTCCATAAATAGTTTTATACCTGATGCTCCGTATATAGTTTTATACCTGATGCTCCATATATAATTTTATACCTGATGCTCCGTATATAGTTTTGGAGCGAGCTCAGACTGAGGGAAGTTATGGAGAAGAGGAGAGGGAGATAAAGTTGATAAATCTCCTTCTCCGGATACACTGTACAGGTCATCTTCCAAACCTTGAAATTTAAATCATAGAAATTCAGAGGTTTTCTTTCCGTTTTCTATAATATTGAATAAAATAAAATAAACTATATACAATACATATATAAAGTAGTAATCTCTGTTACATTCCGTTTTGGTCTAAAATTCAACAATTTTTACACTGACCAGGACCAAACTGTTAAATCCGTGTGAAATGTAAGGATCATNAAAACAGTTTTTAAAAATTAATAAAACAGTTTTTAAAAATTAATAAAACAGTTTTAAAAATTAATAAAACAGTTATTAAAAATTAAAAAACAGTTTTTAAAAATTAATAAAACGGTTTTTAAAAATTAATAAAACAGTTTTTAAAATGGTATCAAAAGCAATAAAAATTCTCTGTACAGGTTTATTACCCAAATAGCTTAGCTCAGGAAAAAAAAACGTACAAAAAAAGACAAAATTTATGCTGTAAAATCAACGTGTGATACGGTCCGAAGACCCCTATTTAAATAAATGCTTAGGATGTCGTTTAATCAAAATGATAATAATATAGTTATATTCGAATAAAAGAAGACATCGGAAGAATTTATATAATTTCGCCTTGAATTTGAATTTGAAGTTCCGCTCTCAGCTTTACAAGGAAATGTATAATTTTCTTTAGTTATATACAAATTTCTGTGATGGAAAGTCGATGTTTTTATATTTAATAAAAATTTTCTAAATTTCTTTTTTGTTAAGATAAATAAATAGCCCTAAAATATATGGAACAGGTTATCAAACAGCTTCATATAGTTGGACGCTAATTTGCGTATAAAAATCCTACAAATTGAATAATTCTGAGCTGCAAACCTCTGTAAAAGTCTTCAAGACGACATTTTAAAAAAAATTCTTCCATCATTGTCTTCTAATATTTGAGTTTAAGCATATCATGAAATATATGTAAATTATTACAGATTAGTTTAGTTTACCTTGCAATGTTGCTGTGAGCTGACTCTCAAAAATGACCTCCGACGACAGATCCGTCCTCAACTTTCTTCTTGTCCTCTTTGTTCTCTCCCTGTCCTCACCAACGTTATCCTCGTCCTCCTAAGGAAAGGACGGTTACTTGATAAATATACAGGGATAACTAGAAAACTTTGAAACAGGAAGACGATTTTTAAACTCAAGTTACTTTAAATAGTGCAATGAGCATGGGACACAGAATTTGTGCAGTGTAAACAGACCCATTTCACTTTTTTAGTGATTTGATAAGTGTCTAGGAAATCTAACAAAACATGAAATACATTTAATTACTCTATTGTGTTGTCTTCCGGTCTCAGAATTTTTTGATTATCACTGTATGATACTAAAAGTAGAGGTTTCTACTGTTATATTTTAGAAAAAGTGATTTCAAATTAAAATATATTTGATTAAAAGATAAATGTGACAAATAAAAATAAAAAAGTGTTTAATTTCTAATTACAGTAAATGAAAAAAGACATTCAAAGCTATTTACCAACTGTCATGTTGTGGGTTATAGAGTTTTTAGCTTTATGACAATTAATGTTTAGATTAACTGGAAAATATTGTTTTTTAAGATTTTATGTATTATGTAAAATAAGGTGAATTGCCCGGCGTTGCCGGTGTCGAATTTTAAAAATTAAATATTTTTTAAAATTTTGAATTTTGAAGAAGAAAAAAACTCGAATTTAAAAAAAATTGAGTTTTAAAGATCTTTTTTATCTTATGTTTCCTACCGAGCCCATGGATTTTCTCAAAAAAATCAGCCTATTTGGTCCAGCCGTTTAGCCAGCTATAGCTAAAATTTAAGTATATATGTATATATTTGAGCAAAGAGCTTTATCATATAGATTTAGATATTATAGAGAGTTTAGACTACCTCATATGCAGAATTGTCAATTCCAAGTTTCTTCAGCTTTTTCTTTCTTGTTTTTCGTTTTTCTTTTCCTTCCGCTTCTTCTCCAATTTTCTTATTCTTTTTCTTTCTTTCCTTTCTTTTTTCATTTTCCGCGTCGGAATTTAACCCCTGTTTATTTATCGGTCTTTCTCTCATTTCTTGATCCTCTGAACCCTCGAGACTTGATCCATCTTGAAAAAAAAGAATTCAAGAAAAAAGCTAGCGAATAGTAAACAGGGGGCGGAAACGTCATGTATGTCATATGTGTGTCTGTACCAAAAAAGTGTGTGTAAGAAATACCGAGCCGTAGGCGTGTACTGCAGGTATATACAGTTCATAAGAATCTCGGTGTTTGTACAGTCTAGGAAGGTACATTTGTTCATTGTTAATTGTTTACTTAAAAATAAGTTTAATATACATGTAATATATTATGCATATATTTAAGTCAACACTATAAACCAAATTTAAATGTTAAAAATATAATTTGATTTAAGTTTACAATAAACTACTCGATCGTTATTCAAGCTTAATTAAAATTGCCGACCTTGTTCTGCAATTTCCTTGACTGTAGTCATGTTGTGTGTCCGTACCAAAAGAGTGTGCGTTTGTGATAACGAACTCGTCTTCAAAGCATGTGCGACTGGCTTTCTCATGCCAGACCAGCGCCATTTCCCTTCCCTTTATTCTTATTCCCTGATAGTAAAGTCTAAACGAACGACATCGAAGAGCTATCCAATTTCTATAATGTATCATAACTAAATTAATTTGCTTTTCTCTTGGGTTTTCAATTGCAATAACACAGCTTAATATTACGCAACGTTTGCTTCCTCTTGCGCTTCAGGTTGCGCGCAATATAGTTATATTTGCGCATTGATGCGGAATATATTTTGAGTTAAAAGTTTTTATTGCGAATATGAATTTTAAGCGCTATTGTGCTTATGAGCATTGGTCCTGTTTATTGTTTAATATTCTTGTGAAGAAAATTGTAGTATTTTGTCCAAAATCAGGATTAAGGGCTCATTTTCCTAATTCTTTTCAAATTTTCTTTTATCCTATTTTTGTTTTTGTTATCTTCTACATATTTTTTATTTCATCTTTACCTTTTAATTTCTCTATCATAGTATTTAGCTTTCTTATGTTTTTTTAATCACATGTATTACTCTTATTTTCTTTTATAATTCCATTCGTTCGTATCTTACAGTGGTAGGCGATTATATCAATATAATGAAGTATTTAAGTTGCTAAGATTAAGTTAAGTTAAGATTGTGAATAAGCTTTTTTCCAATTACAAGTTTACAAGTAATCAAGTCAGGTTCTCTTGACATCTATGTTTATGTGTGCATACTGTTTAACAGCTTGATATAAAGCAAAATTGAAATCGAAAGTCGTCTTCATTGTATTGATATAATCGCCTTTACCACTGTATGTTAACTCACCATTTCTTTTTTTTCTGTTTCTTCTTCTATTTCTTCTTTCTTGATCAGAATCCACAATTCCCAAATCAACAGGCATTTTGAAAATCTTTGAAGAATATTTTCATGTAATATTTATTTTGTACTGATATGAAAAGGGTGTTTATAATGGTTATCAGTAAATGTAAAACTCCATTTTTTCTTAGCGAGGAAAAGTTTATCAATAAATTATTATTAAATTTTTTAACATTTTTATGTAAGATAAAAACTCGGGAAGCTATAGCGAGGTCACATCACATTAATTTGACATTCTTCTTTTGTTAAGTTTGCAGCGATATCATTGTACATTGTACATTTTTTTCAGAGAATTTCCCAAAATGCGCTATGATCCTTCTTCAATTTTAAGGTACTGTGAATGAGACATACATGTCTCATTCACGGTACCTAAAAATTGACAATTTTTAGTTTTGGTTCTACACTACAGTGATCCAATTGTGGATTCATACAGCAGAGACAATGTAGGCATTTGACAGAATTTATATCTTTTCTTAATAGAAAGGACGCCCTTCTTATTGCTACTCAGATAACGCTTTAAATGGTACCGTTGTGAATCGGGAATACTGATGTAACTCCTGAAAGAATTGAGTTTCCGGAATTTGAGTTGACTAGGTTTGTATGTTTAATATTTAGGACATTGGTATCCTGGGGGACCTAGAAGAAAGCAGTGTACACTGTACATACATTATTAAACTTGGTAGATTTTCTACCTTTGCTTTCCACTATATAATCTATCTATACCTACCTATCGGCCTATCTATCTATCTATCTATCTATCTATCTATCTATCTATCTATCTATCTATCTATCTATCTATCTATCTATCTATCTATCTATCTATCTATCTATCTATCTATCTATCTATCTATCTATCTATCTATCTATCTATCTATCTATCTATCTATCTATCTATCTATCTATCTATCTATCTATCTATCTATCTATCTATCTATCTATCTATCTATCTATCTATCTATCTATCTATCTATCTATCTATCTATCTATCTATCTATCTATCTATCTATCTATCTATCTATCTATCTATCTATCTATCTATCTATCTATCTATCTATCTATCTATCTATCTATCTATCTATCTATCTATCTATCTATCTATCTATCTATCTATCTATCTATCTATCTATCTATCTATCTATCTATCTATCTATCTATCTATCTATCTATCTATCTATCTATCTATCTATCTATCTATCTATCTATCTATCTATCTATCTATCTATCTATCTATCTATCTATCTATCTATCTATCTATCTATCTATCTATCTATCTATCTATCTATCTATCTATCTATCTATCTATCTATCTATCTATCTATCTATCTATCTATCTATCTATCTATCTATCTATCTATCTATCTATCTATCTATCTATCTATCTATCTATCTATCTATCTATCTATCTATCTATCTATCTATCTATCTATCTATCTATCTATCTATCTATCTATCTATCTATCTATCTATCTATCTATCTATCTATCTATCTATCTATCTATCTATCTATCTATCTATCTATCTATCTATCTATCTATCTATCTATCTATCTATCTATCTATCTATCTATCTATCTATCTATCTATCTATCTATCTATCTATCTATCTATCTATCTATCTATCTATCTATCTATCTATCTATCTATCTATCTATCTATCTATCTATCTATCTATCTATCTATCTATCTATCTATCTATCTATCTATCTATCTATCTATCTATCTATCTATCTATCTATCTATCTATCTATCTATCTATCTATCTATCTATCTATCTATCTATCTATCTATCTATCTATCTATCTATCTATCTATCTATCTATCTATCTATCTATCTATCTATCTATCTATCTATCTATCTNGTGATAAAGAATGATTGTAGGTTTACTTTGATTTAGTTTTAAAAGATAACATATAAACAAGAAAATTATTGCATTCTCTGTACGTTTTTTCTCATATTACAAAATATTTGTATTTGTGAAAACATCGTTTATTTTACGACGGTGTTATATTATACGGTAGAATAATTATCAATAACCCTAGATTTAATTTACAAGGCAAATATATACTCTGCTTTTGTGGGTGCTTCGTCTATATGATTTGTGAAAATTTTCCAGGGGGGATAATAGTTAACTACCTGGGCCGCTGTCTAGCCTGAGAGTACACCTAGGACAGTTTACTTATAAGGGATATTAAGAGATTATGGCCTATATCATACAGTATTGTAGATTTATTATGATTTAGTTTTAAAAGATAACATATAAATAAGAAAATTATTGCTTCCTCTGTACGTTATAACTCAAGTTACAAAATATTTGTATTTGTGAAAACATCGTTTATGTTTACGACGGTGTTATATCATGCAGTAGAATATTTATGAGTACACTTAGATCTAATAAACAAGGCAAATGTTTACTCAGCTATTGTGGGTGCTTCGCACTCATCTTCTACATGCATTGTGAAAATTTTCTCTCTGTATACACTTTATAACAAAAACCAAAAAAGTTGCGGATTTTATAAAAAAAAACATTTTGTGGATTTTCATCTTTTGATAAAAATTGAATAAACCTTTCCCCGGGACATGTAAAGTTCCACACAAAATTCAGCTGTTTTGACGTTAATTGGATACAACAAACAACAAAGTATAAATAAAAGTATGAAATTAATTGCTTTTTCATTACTCGATCTATCATTGCACCTGCAGATCATATTTCATGATTAGTACAATAAATCGACTCAAAGAAGTTCGTAGTAAGATTTTGAATCGACTGGAGACCACCAGAGGGATTTTATTTTCGCTGGAGGGGTTTCAAAAAATGCTTTTTACAATTTAAAACTTTACGCAGGGTGATTTACATTCCACTGGAGGGATTCAGATATCCTTCCTGGGGGTTTATAATTCCACTGGAGGGATTCAGTTATCCT